TAAGGACCATAGGGTGTCATACCCTTAATCTAACCTCCTCACAAATTAGTAGAGACTAGTTAGATACGAGTCCCTTAATAAGCAAGTGGGACAATCCCTCAAAGAATAAGTGAGATAATAAAATAAAGAGGCAAGCCATCAAGATTCAAATGATGACCTTGCCACATGAATTTCCAATGTCTATTCCTCCCTTTATAGGCAAACCCCTGCCTCATATGATCATGTAATGAAATTATGACTAACACGTAATATATGCAATTATTCAAGTTCTCTACATGACATACACGTATCATACTTTTTACTTCCATACTTTTCTACATTCCCATCACAATTTCATTACTTTCTTAATCCATGTTTTCTTCAATCATGCTTAAACAAAACTTAAGAAATAATTTCACAATCAAATTTTTTTCACAACAGAATCTTTAAAATATTAACTCTACGTTACAATTTTCATTCCTTATTATACTCAAAAACATACTCATATATTCTATTCAATTATAAATAGTTATAACTATTTAACAAACAGATGCACAAATTAAATTTTTTTCCTATTATCTCAAATCTTTAAAAGGTCAAAGTTTTACCCCTCAATAAAAGTACTTCACAAGTTATACCAAAGCTTGAATGGTGCACAAGATAATTAATTTACAATTAATCATAACAATCATAATTGATATCATCATAAATACTATTTCAACTTCCATTAATCAACACTTTAATTACCCAAAATTTCAATGTCTTGCATTTAAGCATAACCATTAGGTTTATTAACTCCCATTAACTTTATTTAGCTTTCATAACTTAAATAATTACTAATATAATAACCAACAATCCAAAATCACACTTTGAAGGTCTAGAGTTCATCTAAAATAGATGACCCAAGCTCACAACCTTATAAAAACTTCTAAACCATATGTAAAATACTTAAACAACTTTCATTAGTTACATTTAGATCAACGAGTTCGAACTCATAGCCCTAAGTCCAAAAAACCCCATCTCCAAATCTCAAATCTCACTTCCAAAACGTGTAGAGAGAAGAGAAAGAGATAAGGAAAGCATACATAAGTGAAATTAAGCTTTAATCATGTCCAAAATACCGAAAAGTTGATGTTCTAGTAGAGAAAATACTCATTTTGTTGCACCCTCTCTATTTTTTGCTGTCTACCTTCGGTTTGAACTGTTTTCACATTTTTTTAAAAAAGCTAGTTTTGAAAATTATGCTATAATGTAAATTTTTATATTGCAACATAATACAAAGTGGGTCGAAATCTAATTTTTTTTTTTTGCTACAATTTGAGTTTGATTGACTCAATTCACTTTCAAATCTAATCCAAAGATTAAAGCCAAACTCAATAGGTTCACTAGTCATCTCTAACAATTATCAAACCCAATTATATTTAAATTTACATAATTATTATTCATTAGATTAACAAATCATGAAAAAAAAAAAAATAGAACGTTACACCTTGAGTGAAAGTACTGGCATACACATAAAGTGGTGACGTACCGATATCACCATATACAATCCCCAAGCTTTGAAACGATAAACTTAGAGTGACTCATAGACAGGTAAAATTAAGATCCAATTAAAAATGATTAAAGGACCGAATCGGATCGAACGGTTTGACTGTGGATCGGTGAGTCTTCAAGGCTAATTTGCAGGCTTGAGCCATTTGGACATTTGAGTCGGGTTAAGTCGCCTCAAACAAGGGTTGGATTGGAACCAGAATCAAACTGTGAAGTGGAGCGGTTCTTCAACAACTTAACGGCCCTGATCTTGGTTGCTTTTATTGCTTTAAAAAAAAAAAAAAATCCTCTTCGGCCTCCCACTTTCATTTCCTCTAGATTCCACAGTCCATGCCTCACGCAGCACTGAAACTCAGTTAATCACCTATTCTCCATTCTTGACTTTATGCCATGGTTCGTGCTCGGCTCTGCATTCTGCAACCCAAAGCTTTCGCCTTTCCATCCTCCATTCGTGTCTTCGTGACTTCCATGGATAATATCCGCTCTTGGTCTATTAGTCTCCAATCTATTTCTTTATCTCCCTTTTACTGGTTTACTTTTCACAGCTATTAATTTATTTTGTGATTAATTAATTATATATTTATTGCCTCACCCAGTTTTGTGACCCAGAATTTGAGAAGCATGCCGCTTGGAACTTGTCCTTCATCCAGTTTGGTGCAATGAACGGAGAAAGAAACACTGCGGAGGCATACAGATTTTGTGACACCTCATCTTACAAATTGTTTCCTGTGAACGTCCCGCAATTTACATTAAATTATTACATAATGCATCTCCGTCACACCTCATCGCCAATGCCATTTATTTTCTCACAAAATCTTGCCTTGTTTAAATTTCTCCAATGAGATTTATTACATATTGTTTTGTGTACCTGTGAACACCATATCAGTACATTTACAAATAAATTAAAAATACAAATGCTGATGTATGTTCTTTTAATAGCCTTTGCATTTGAATGTCTTTGTTTCCTTTTATATTAACATAAAAATAAAATAAAAAAGAAAAGCGTAAGAATGAAATTTATTTCTTTCGTTAAAAATTATTTTTAAAAAATAAATATAAAAACGAAATTTAATTCTTTTTAAGAATTATTTTTCAAAAAGTATATAAATTTAATTTTTTTTAAGAATTATTTTTCAACCAAAAAGAAAGAATAGTAAGAAATTAATCCTTTTTCAAAATTATTTTTGAAAGGAGTTAACTTTTGCTTAAATCTTTGAATAAATTCCTCTCTCAAATTATCCTCACAGTTCAAAAATCTTGGAAAACAACTCCTTGAGAATCAATTGCAAAAACAAATATATTTCATTTTTATTTTCGATTATTAATATGATAAGATAATTTATATTTATATAACTATTTATATTATATTTTTTAATATAATATTATTTTTGTTAGTATTTGGATTAAAATATCATATTTGTCTAAACCCACCTTAAGCTTCTAGAAATTGGAAAATTAAAAAGTTTGGACTAACATAAAATTTTTAGTCCAAGTCCACTTCAAGTTTTTAGAAAGAAGGAAGTTATAAGAAGACTTAATCACTTATACATTACTTCTTAAAAAAAGGTTAAAGTGGAGAAACTTTAAAAATAATTGCTGCTAATAGCATCAAAAAGCATGGAACCACAAAAAAACTATCACTTTTCGTCCATAAAAGGGGAAGCAAGACAAACATGCAAGGTTCTCTAACTTTAATCAAACTCAACACACCAACCAGCACCTAGACTTTGATATAAGCCCTTCCTTATGCAACAACTTTAGATGTAGTTCTCTTATATTAGCATACCTCCATGAGAGAGTAGTAAGTTCCCTACACCTAATAGATTAACAGCACCTATACAAACAAGAACACAGCCACTCCGGTATTATCTTTCTATTTTTTTTAAAAAACAAATTTTAAATATTATCCTTTTCAAGAACATGAAGAACTTCATTATGTTCCACTTGGAGATACAAAAGGTTAGGGAGCAAGTTGGAGGGATGGCTTGGTGCTTTTGAATTGCCCATCCCCTTAGCCTTAAGGGGTACTTGTTTAATGAGGACTGTTCAATAGGTTGGAACTGAAGAAAGGAATGAATTGAGTGTTTTTAAATTTTTCAAAGTCTTTTGCCAATCCAATAAAATAGCACCTGACACTAACAGAGCCCAACAAAAAGAGTTTGATGAAATGAGTTAAGTTCAAGGGAGAGGCAGATACAAGATAATTTATCTTGGGTTAACCTAACTATTTGACTTATATTCAGTCCTAAAAGAAACATTTTGAGATTTTCCAGATATGAACACAAGTTTTCAATAGGCACTTGCAGCTATAGTACATTCTCCAAAGAAAATGTCTTGCAATCACCCAATCCCTTACTATGCCTGTAAGGGCTCCTGAGTCCTTTCTAATGTCACATTTACCCAATGTCCTATGATCTCTTTAAAGAAAGTTCAGTATCTTTACATCCATAAGCGGGTTTGGGCTTGTGCAAGCTTAACAGTGAGAAAATAAAGACTTACTCAAACCTACTCATCGGCAACATTGTCTAGCCCAAGGCGGAAGAGATAAATCATAGCAACTTGGACTAAATTTTCGTGATCGTGGCGAGGAGGCCACTCCAGACCTTATATATCCAGTTGCATATTTTAGTTGTCTACAAATGATTCTACTTGCCACTCAATGGGATTTTCCTTAAGGCATCAATTACAACTCATACATTATATGGAGAAAAATTATTCCAATTAAAAGTTTAAGATATCAAATATTTCTTAAAACAAACTTCCAGGGGAAAATTTCTCTTGAACCCTCAAAATTGTTTAACTAACCGTCAACGTTGGTAAAACATTATTAATGACAATGCACCATTTTTTTAAACTTTTAGGATAATATTATGTCAATCAAAAAGTTAAGGATACTAATTATATTTAATAAGAAAAACTTTAGGTAAATTTATCCATTAACCCAAAACAAATCATAAAACAAATCATACTCTTAAAAACAAAATATTTCACTTACAAAGAATCCTCTTGTTTGTCAAAAATACTCTAAATAGGGTCATTTCCCAAATAAAAGAAACTATTAACAATCTAATCTCGAGCCACCTTGTTATCTAACTACATAGCAGCAGGGTTAAAATTAGAAAAAGTGCCTCAAGTAACAATTTTAATGCAAAAATACAAGTTGCTCCTGCAAAATACTTACCATATTTAAAAACAAAAAAATCGTGTACGCGTTTTTCTCATGTGAATTATAGTTTGTGCAAGAACAGGTAGACTATTTATATATTATGTTTGTAAACTTGGCGTGCTTAATTTTTTTTTTTTTAAACCTTATCCAACAACCAGTTCAGAATAAACTTCATTTCTTGCAGCATTTATTTTCTAGTGGTAATTTTCTTTCCATATGAAAGAAAAGCCACCCGAAACTTGGGCTTCATTTGGATGAATAGTAAAGTAAAAATAAAAGGAAAAAAAGATACTAAAAGGAGAAATTTCGAAAAAAATAACATATTTTCACTATTTTTTCAAATTTTCCCCACTGGATTTTTTTATTCCCTATTTTTTTTTTCCCCCCATCCAAACAGAGGACTAAGGAGGACAAAACATTGTGCTTAAGCAACAACGGAAGTCGGTTCTATGTAAACATCAGGTCTCCACAAAACAAAAGTGGCTTCTAGATCCCAGTAACCATATGGAAGTGATGAGTATCTGCTGCATGACTCCTATGCTTTCTACTTACATGTAGTCATTTACATAACTTTAGCAGAAACCCTAATATTTCAACATTTCAAACAAGCAAATCTCGCCAAGGTAAATTGTCCGGTCATTTAGTTTAATCTTCATGATAAAGATACAAGCCTAGACCAAATCGAGCACAAGCTTTGCAGAAAGCTATCTCCTCAGCGGCTGCTACTGGATCTCCAATATGGCCGTCAGTAGGGGATACTGTCCCTGTTGACTCACGATGTGCCTGTTCACATATATAAATAAACTGCATGTCAATCACATTTTACTCCCAGACCAAAAGAAAAAAAGAGTTAAGGTACAAAAATATTTCAAAAATTTTTCTCCATAAATTTCTAGTATCCTCAAGTCAATAATGATGCATGGCTATACATTAACTTTATAAATAAGAGCCAACCTTCCCCAATTTATTAAAATAGCCTAATGTTGACCATTAAGTTCTAATGATAGAACTTAACAGATTGGGGACTTTTTTTATAAAGTGAATGGACCCTCATGCACTAAGGATGCCCATAGTTCGTGGAGAAAAATTTTTCAAATATTTTTGCACCTTAATCCAAGAAAAGATCCAACTTTGCTTTCTCCGTTTCTGCTGAGCATAGCACACGCCAACTGTTCTAAACACACGCACACACACTAATGCACAATAATCTAAATACATCAACATAATAACATTTGTTTAATTAATTTTAAAATGGAAATTAAAAGCATATAAACTTAAAATTACATTTTTTTTTATCTAAACATAATCAGATTATCTTGATATTAACGGGAAAAAGATTAACCCATCCCAACCTTCCAAGTCCATCAAAAGACATAAAAGCATCGTTGGAAAGATTCAAATAATGTATGACTTCTGGTTATGCGTTAAATGAACCACGGCAGTGATCAATTCACGGTACCTCAATGGTCAGGCTCACCCAAGTCTTTTCTAAAAGGAGAATCTCACTTAGGGCCTCTAAGAGACAAAAAATTGCACTTCAGGCCCAATAAAATCTGAAAACGCACTATAGGCCTGAAGGCCCTTCTTGCAAATTTTGTTGTGGACGAAAAGACACAATTACCCTTGTCTCAAGGGCATGTTCATATATGCACAACATGATGCCTACAAATTTTCAACACAATATTCATAAATGCACAACACACATAATGGACATTATTTAACTTGAAGTGAAATGTTCAAACAAGCAAAAGAAGAATAATACAATGTCCATCAATTCTCAACACAATGAACATATGTAAACCTGAAACATTTGTGCAACATAAAGTCCATAATGAATAACATACTTCCATTAAAATAACATACTTCAAGTTAATGTCTATCAGATGTGTGTTATGCATTCATGAACATTGTGTTGAGAATTCCTGGACATCGTCTTGTGTATACATGAACATTCTATTGAGACAAGGGCAAATATGTATTTTCGCCTACAACAAAATTTGCAAGAAAAGCTATCGACCCTACAGTGCATTTTCAGATTCTACTAGGCCTGCAGTGCAAATTTGTGTTTTAAGGGCCCTAAGAGATTCTCCCTTTTCTAAATGATTGAGCCAAAGTCAACCTTTGTTTCAGAACTCAATCAACAAAATAGGTGGGGATAGTAATTTAACACTTGTGACAACAATTGCTGGATTAATTTGTTAAATAGCTTTTTAGCTTGATTAAGCAAATAAATACCAAGCTAAATGTTAGGGTCATTTTAGTTTCCGATATCAAATATGATATAGAGCCCACTCCAAACAGCAAGGGAGAGAATATACAACTCTTCAGGTATTTGCCATGAAGTTCTTTAATAGCTCAGATACATTACAGACTCTTTCAAAATAGCTTTTCACAAAGTTTATTTGAAGAATCTCATAGCAAATACCTACATAATCACATCCAAAAATTTTCCATATAAAAATTTTACATCATATTTAAATAAATGCCAATTTGGGCTACATGTAACCTCAAGGAGACGAAGAAAGCAAGCGTAACAAGCAAATCTTTTTTTTTTTAAGGAAAAAAAAAGGGGGGGCTGTAATCATCTCATATCCAAGTAATCCTGTCATTATCCGCAATTCCAAAATTATTGCCTCACTAACATCCTCATTCTCTTTAAAAAGTAATATGTATGAATTTCGAATGAAGAGTTATACAGCGAACATCATCATAGGTTGTGTATACTTTACATTTTTGCAATGCTCTTGCATTTTCTTAGAACCACAGGTTAATTAGGTCAGGTGTGGCATTAGATTTTTCTCTTTATATAATCAGTTTTGTTTTCAATCACTGACCATCTCATGTTCAGATATTTGTGAAGGGAGTGAGATATTGTCATTATTATTGAAAATTTGAAATGTGACTTGCACTTTAGATTGTGCACAATCCAAGGCTCATAAAACAATCCAACCAAATCATATAAGATATCATCAGAACAAAAATTCAGAAGAGTAATCAGCATAGCGAACTCAAAATTCTTAAAGACGCTTGTGATTTTCAATCCCTTGATTGAATTGAAGCAGAAATGGATATGGAAGCAATACCTGGCTTCAAGAGAAGAATGGTAGTTTCAGGAAAGAAGACTGGTAATGGTAACATAGGCATTTAGCATGAAATATGAAAATATTGCATTTGCTTAGAAACATAAATTCAGTTCTGACATTCTATTCAAGAAACAACTCTACTACTATATGTATTGTCTTATAACAGGCCAATAATGATATGAATCTTATTATTAACCACCAACTTCATATTTTTATAAAAACTTACTTTATGTTAGACTTTGTTATACAGAATCAACCGGGGGATACAAGTAACAAAGCCGAAGTACAAGAAAAAAAATTATTAAAAAAAAAACTGAGGGGGTATTATGGCACAGTTAAGCAATCTAATGAATCTATGCAAAAATAAATAAATAACCCAAATTAAGATAAATTATTTCCACAATTATATTCTTTTCAGTCAATGCAGAAAACAGGTTAACCATCCCTTCAAAACTTCTGTGCATGCAAAAACTTGGGTATTATGAAAAACATAATAAATTGAATGAATCTGTGCAGTTCAAACATCCAATCAAATTAAAAAAAAACATAAATCACTCAAATCAGGAAAAGAAATTTCTATGATTATTAACCAAAAAAATGCAATTCTTACTATTATAATTTTTTGTCAATGCCAAAAACAGGTCAACCATCCCATCAAATGATTCTGATATCATTACAGTTTTAAGACTAAGTAATTACTCAAGATTATTTCTTCAGCCTTTACAACCCTCACCAGACCTCTAATCATAAAATTCTGTGTATTGTAATCTGACATTTGTATTAAGTTATCACATTATTCTATAATTTGAGAGACTATCAAGGTGTTTGGGAGTCTTTATGAGGAATTTGATGGAGTTGGGAAAAATCAATTTCAGGACTCCCCAAACAGACTCCCAAACATACACAATAAGGTTTTGAGACAAATTGATAAGTTCAACCTACAAATAATGGCATAACTTTATTTGTAGAAGTAAATGATTGGATCCAATGCTCCTCAACTCAAACTCAATCATCTAATTCAACCCTGTTTAGAGTCCCATCCCTTCCTAGAAGGATCCTGCTCATGGTAACCATGAAAGACAAAGCACATAAATCAAGCCTAAAGTGGGTGGATTGCTACTGATTGAGAGAAGGAAAATAATGCTCAAATGGGCAATGTTGAAGGGCGTACATTGTGGCATGCCCTCAAGTGAAAATCCAAAATAAATAAAAGAGTACACTGAAAAGAGTGAAAGCTCACCTCCCCATCAGATCCTCTTACAGTAACACGGTACACCACAGTCACACTTCCATTGTCAGAAAATATAACATCACGTATTTCTCCACACCATCCTGCAAAAGAGTTTCAACATAAGAAATATCAGAAAACTTCAGGTTCAATTAACAGGCTCCGATAACACATTAACAATTACAGACATATCTCAAAGCAAGATACGAAATGTCAAGTTAAGATAGAAACATGAAGAGACAGATTTAAACCGCAAAGACCTTGACAACCTACCAAAAATAGGAAGCGCCACTTAGTTCAAATAAAAAGCCTCATATTTTCATTCAAGTAGACTACGCTTGTAAAGGACTATCAAGCCAGATTGCCAGAAATAGAAAATGTAGCGCCAAATTCAGGCCTACTGCATTTCCACTAAACGTGTTATATGATTTTTTTTTTAAAAAAAAAATTATACTCTGTAGAGGCATTGTCAAAAATAAAAATGCTGATTTCAACTGGAAAAAATGGCTTTGGAGCCCTTATCATTCAACAACAGATTTTTTTTTTTTTTTTTTTTTGGGTTAAGAGCATAAGTATCAAAAGTGTTCAATCATGAATTAAAAGAAAGGATAATCCCATGCACCTGGGGCGTAGAAGCTCAGCATCCTGTTGGCATGATACCTACCAACCAAAAATTACCAGATCATCAGAGATCAGTGGTTGAGCTTTCCTTCTCTATGGTTATTTAAGTGTTAAAATGTGTCAGTACATGCAAGCTGCTGTGAAAGAAACCAGGCTTTTATCTTGATGCGTCATATAGGGAGTAATCGAATTTTTCACTCTCACTATCACTAGATTTCGTTTTTTGTTTCGGGAATATATTCCCCATCTACCTAGCATTTATTTTAACTATCTATCTTCTACACAAAGCCTTTTTAGGTTGCATAAGATGGTCACTTTCTGGCTGTCTGTTAAAAGTACTTATTGGAGGAAAATAAATTGACTATATACAAAAACATATCAGAATAACACAGTACCAGGGAATGAGGGTGGCAGCCGAGGGATCGCCATCGACATGAGGTTTGACGATATTATCGGGGATTCTTTTATTAAGGTCACGGAGAATCTCTGCCAGAGGACGAGTTATAGATGAGTTCGAGAAAGGAAACGACTTGTCCAGCGGCACCACGTAATTGGAATTCGATACGCCTCCTTTCTTCCCATCGCTGCTATTACTGCCGCTGTTACTTCGTTCAAGAGCACTAACAAGAGACAGTGAACCTGGAAAGCCTGTTCTTCTCAGATTTCTCTGTCGGGCCGCCGTCACAAGCACAATTTCAGAACCCACAGCAGGAAACTTACTTTGTATTTGATTACCGCAAGACAAAGACGGACAAGCACAGGAACGAATTCCTATGCCAGTGAAGGGGATGGGACTAGGCCTAATCGACGAAGCCATCGGCCGATGATCCCCCCAACCACCCAGATCTCAATTGTGCCTAGCGTATTAGGCAAGCGATGAAACGCTTGACGACTCAAGTATTTTATTATATGTACACACACTCACACACATAAAAACACTTTTTTTTTTTGGACCTGAAAATACTTTGGTTAAATTCTTAAAAGGCCTCAGTATATTAAGGCCAACCTGAATGGTAAACCTACCCAAGAATTGGATTTGGAAATTAATTCGATGTAAATGTTTTACTTTTACGGTTGATGTTAATGCATATTCATTTAGCTTATACTCATTTTAATTGACCTAATATCGTCTTAATTATATTAAAATGGGTCTCGTTTCGACTCGAAAACAATTAAAAGGGACTTATAAGATGAGACAGAAAAGGAGTTGGAGACAAAAAGGGACACAAGATTGCCATCAGAATGTCCCGTCCAGTCTAGAAAATTATATATTATTTTTTATTTTAAAAATATATATTAAACATGTGAATTATATTAATACAATTTATTATTATATCTATCTATTTAATAACTTTTATTTATATTATATTTCTTGTTTTATTTTCAAAAGAATAATTAGCTTAACACATCTCAACTAAAGTAGAAGAACAATGATTTAATGTTGTGTTTGGCTTGCCTATTGTTGTTGCTCTTATAACTTAAAGATCACTTGTAATTGTTATCATAATGTGTAATTGTAATTAATATAATTCAACGATTGATTTTAAATTGTTGTGATTTATGTATTTATATGTTTTAATTTTAAACTTAATAAATTATATGATCTAAAATTTTAATGGATGTTATTATTTAGATCTTTCTTTAACATTGTTTGATTTATCAGGACGACGAAACATCCTGATTTTGTCTCGATTCTTAACGAGATGAATCAACTTTTAGAACACAACGAGACACGGGACAAGTCCGTCTCGTCTCGTCAACACCCCTACTCTCTTCTATCCCATATATGAGGCACATTTTAGTAGAGTTTAGAATAAGGCTGAGCTTAAAGAGTCAAGCTTGGAGGCCCTATTAAAATAAAGATTTGGGTTTTAAAAATTAATTTTTTTTGAAATAACCGGGTTTGAGAGTCCTGACCTTGATAAGCCTTATGAAAAAGGGCTCAGGCTCAGGCGACCCTTCAAACCCTGATAAGCTCAATTATCTTACACACACATACATACATTTGATTGATAATGACACAATGGTTAATATTTATTGTAGGTGATGAAGAAGAAGTTGCAAAGATAATTGACATTACATCCCACCTCCATCTTTAACAAGTAGATCTACATTTGAGGGATCTAATATTTTATTTTTAAATAATGATGGGGAGGATTTAGATTTACATTGATGAATATTTTAATCTTCATCTTAAATTTAAAATTTTAAATCTTTGTTGAATTTTATATTAGACTTTGATTTGTTTCATGTTGAATTTTAGAATATTCTATTTAAATTAAAATGTTGAAGTTTTTTTTTTTTGAGAAAGAGGGCTTAAGGGCCCGATTTGAGCTTCAAATAAGGGATGGGTCTCAAAATATGTTCAATTTTAGGAAACTGAATTTTAAGGCTTGAGCCTTTAAAGTCCGATTCATAAGGGTAAGGCCCTGACAAGCCGGCTCAGCCTGATTCCCACCTCTTCATTTTAGAAGGTGTATTTAGTTCTATTTATAAGTTATAATATGACTTTTTAAGTAATATTTGAAAGATATTAGGAAAACATAACTTTTGATCCCTACACTTTGCTCATGCTTTGCTATAGGTCCTTGCACTTTTTTTCAATATTCTGGGTCCCTATATTTTCATTTTTTGGTGTTCTAGGTTCCTAAATGAACAAAATATAGGCACCTTGGAGGGACCAAAATCCTAGAAAATAAAAGTCTAGGGAACTTAAACACTGAAAAAAAAAAGGTGCAAGGATTTATAATAAAACACAAGCAAAGTATATGAACCAAAAGTTATGTTTTCTCAAAGATATTTTTAAAATTACCCTTTTACAAGATAAAAAAAGTAAAATGGTATTACTTTTTGGATTTATTATATATGAACATATTTAAAATTTCACACAATTTTATTTCTTGTACTTTTTTTTATATTGATATTAATAAGTTGGTAGAAATGACTTGTCAAGGGACTGGAGAAGTACTATTGTGTAATGGTATCTTTTATTAAAAACAAAGCAATGTTATTATTTTGATAAATATTTGTTAATTTGATTATTAATTGATTAAAAATTATTAAAAATGACTTTAAAAATTATAAATAAACACCTATAAAAATTAATATTGATTTAAAATTTTGAATTACAAATAAATTTCAAAACAATAAGGTTATTTTTTATCTATATAAAAAATTAAAATATTATTTTAACTAGCTACTTTGATTAGTTATTAAGTGACATCATGTTACCATTGCTAACTAGCAACAATACCAGTAAGTAATTAAAAGTATTACATTTGTTTTAATAATATTATATTATATTTTAATATAAAATAAATTAAAATTATGATTTTTTACAAATCCCTACACAATTTACTAGCCAACTTTTGACCAACATAAACGAAGAAATCAGTTAACAATCCATCTATCAATCAAATAATCTGACTTATTAAAACTTTAATATTGGCCTAGGAAAGGCATTTAATAGTAGTTAGAAATTAATTTTTACAGCTATTAAAAAGGAGATATTGTCACAAACGATTTAGAAAGTCAAGCACTTTTTATGTAATATCTTGAATTTCTTATTTTCATAAGATCGAGATAAGATTATTTCATAGTAATCATAATTTACCATGTAATTATTTGACTAAAGAGAATTTACCAAAAAAGGGATAAATTTCATGCCATAATTTTTAGAAAAAGAGAAAATTTGGAAGGTTATGTAAGATTAAATAAAGATATTTAAAATAGTGTTTCAATTTAATATACTATTTTTTAAAAATAATTTATTTCAACGAAATTTATAAACTCAGCTCAATCTTATAATTTTTAGAGTCCAAAAAGAAATAAAATAATTAAATATATAAAATAAATAATTTTTAAAAGAAAAAAAAATTAATATGCAAAACAAAAAAAAGTAATTAAAATAGGTAAAGTAACGAAGTTTTACAAAGATAATGAAATAATATTTTTAAGCCAACATGGGCATCAGCCCACAATTGGCTTGTGGGTTGCTGTGCGTGAGTAGCTGAGCGTGCATCTACTTCTTCCAATAGCGGCGGAGCGATGTACATCGAATTGAGAGAGGTTGATCCAGTGAATGAGATTCCCACAAAAAAAGTGATCTAACTTTCTTTTATATTTTTGATATTTTTGGAGTCTAATGAGGAGAAAAAAAAATCTAGAGGTAGATAGATTTTTATTTTTTAGGTATGCTCCCAACTGACTTTTGGTTTGTTAAAAGAGAAAACTATGATAGATTAAGAGTTTATAGGGATTAGTTTTGCCCAAATCATTGATTTTTAGGACTCTAGAGTAGTTTAATGTTGTGAGAGATTTCCGATAAATATTTATTTATGATATAATGGGTTAGAAAATTTCTCTTGAGGTTAAATCTATTTATAAATAAACTGAATATAAGGATCTAACTTAAATATACGAAATTGGGAAATTAAAGAATAAATCTTAGAGGCAAATTCTGAGTTTTTTGGGGAAATTTGATATAAGAAGTTTAATTTTAAAATTATAGAGGTTAAAAAGAGACAAAAATTTATAGAAATTAATTTAAGTTAAAGGATAAAATAGTTTAGATATTTTTAGAGATGAAATGGGAAATGTCAAAGTTAATTTTTTAAATAAAATAAATTATTAAGACTTATTAATAAATTATTATTTATTATCATTAATCTTTGAAGCGTAGTATTTGAGTTGGTGTTGTGAAAAGGTTAGGGAGTTGTAGTTTTAGCTTTTTTTAAAAGGTAACACTAGTTATTCTTTTCATACTACAAAACTATTATTTTATACCATTATATATGTAAATTGTTCTGCAAATGCTGTACCCACTAAGAACTTGTTTGATTGATTATGCACTAGAAATCTATGTTTTGGATTGTCTATCATACTTGTGTAATATATGAAATTATGTAATTACTTTATTTCTTTTAAGTATCCTCGCTTTTGTTAAGTGATAACTATACTATGGAAATCATTTTTTATAATGGTTTAATTTTGTCAAGAATGCTCGGTTGCTTTAGAAACTAAAAATAATATGATTTAAACTTTTTGCACGTGTTTGTGTGTTTGGAATTGTTTTGGAATGTGATGCATTTATAGAGAGTAAAAGGATGTTATGTTTGTTATAGGTGTATTGGAGACCTTATTGTTATTTTGGGCCAAGAATCCTATAGTTGTCATTTCTTATCAAGGTCCCCTTCCCTTGATTTGGAATTGTGGGATATTGAGTACCTTCTTTTTAAAGAGATGAGTTTAGTTTTGTAGGTAATGCTTTTTTGGCAGGGTGCATCACCAAGCAAAACTTCTGTTAGCGGGATAAGGTGAATGAGAGGCATAAAGGAGGGTTAGGAATGTCATCACCTATTAAATAATTATTTTTTATATACTTTTGATTTGTAAAAACAGTATTTCCTTTTGTGATCTCATTTGTGAACTGACTTTATGAAAGATATTATTTATGTAAACATATGTTGCGAAATGAGATTTTAAATTAGTTTGTTGGTATATTTAAAATTTTCATTTGTTGTTGAAATGTTAGATTTCATTTGTCACAAGGGAAGGCGTTAGAAAATTGAGCCATAACTTTATTTATTGCCATGACCTAGGAGTGTGTATTTAAGTTATTATTTTATTGATTTTTGAAAATTTAATAAATTATGGTATTTTGGGTCCTCTAAAATTATTTTAAAAATTTATTTTATTTGATTATAAGCTGAGCCATGTTCTTTTTATTAAAGTCTCTTTTATGTTTTTTTAAATTTATAGAAAATGGTTGTAGGCTTGAAGCCTTAGTTGTTTTATTATAATTCTAGTTTCTAATTGGCAAGTTTTCACTATTAATATATGATATTTTTTGGTTTATAAAAATAAGGGTGTTTCAATGCTTTAAGAAAACA